CGTTTACGTACACGAGGAACAATGTAGGTCCAAGGATACTACCTTGTGTGTAAGTTGTGGGACGCCAGACTGGACAGGGTGCACCGATGAGCTCTGGCCATGAACAACAGCCTTAATGGTGCGACATTGCAGGTAGTGGGTAAGCCATGCGAGCAGTGAACCCCCTATCCCCAGCTGGCGGGCCTTGTAAAGTACGCCAGCATGAGACACTTTGTCAAAAGCCCCCGCTATGTCCACAGTAACTGCTTGCATAGCTCCACCTTCTGCCATGGCATTGGCCCACTCATACTGTAGGACAGTCAGGAGGTCTGCAGCTCCGGTGCCACGACGAAAACCGTATTGACGAGTATTCAGCAGACGGTGGCGTTCCAAGAAGTTGACAAGCTGGGAGTTGGCTATACTCTCCATTACTTTCGACAGGATGCTGAGGAGAGACACAGGTCGATAATTCGAAACAATTGACTTGGAGGACTTCTTGTGTATGGGGGGACACATGGGCTAGTTTCCAGGAAGCTGGCTGGACCCCTGCTCTGAAGCAGCAAGAGGACAAGCGAGCAGCAGGCTCTGCCAGCTCCCTGTGGCATTCCTTGAGGACTCTAGCTGATATGCCATCGGGGCCAGTGGCCTTGTGCGGATTTAGCGCCGCTAGTTGACGACGGACATTGGCTGGACGAAAGTGGATGGCTGTGATCTGAGGTGCCGCGGCATCAAGTTGCATAGCAGGGAGCTGATCAGAGGCAGAGAAGTCGTTGGAGCCGAGGCTGCACTTCATTTATTATAATTATTTATATATACTCAATCTGCGGACAGCATGCTGTTTCGTTCTTTGTGAACTCATCAGCGCAGCACAGAGGAAATGAGGCCGAACCTGATAGCAATGGAAATAAAAATTTCCAATCAGGCCCGAACGTACCTTGCCAGAGTGCTCAAACTGAAAAGTCAGTGAGCTCTGCATATATATATATTTTTTTTGAGGATTTCCCAAAGACGTAGTCTAAATTGAAGGGAGTTCCATTATAATGGGAGGCTGTAGGGTTGAGATAGCAGACAATGGAGGGCTAATGATTGGTAATGAAAAGCCTAGCTAGAGAGATACAATTATGCTGAATGTTCCAGAATGGTCATTTACTCAATAATACCTATAGCCTCGGGGTATGCCTTGAAATACGAATTATACCGAAACAGAAACACAAAAATTAATAAGAATAAGCGCAACGTTCAGAGAGACTTCATGGCAAAGTATTGGGCAAAGCACTCGGCTTTCTCCCTAGCAGTGGTGTGCTCGTGTCCAGATCTGTCGACCAGGACAGATATATCGCTTTGGCGGCTAACACCAGCAGCTCGCTTAATAGCTGTCCGCCATTGCTTGTCTTGCAAGGAGCCAGATAACAGCTTTCTAGAAGCTCGCTCGTTGCATCCTTGCAGCTAGCACCGCAGCAGCGAAGCACATCTTGATACAATACCTGGTGTACCATTTAGGGCGCGTTCGAATTGTCTTCATCAACTGTTCAAACAAAGTTTATAAAGAGATTAGTTGAAATGTCCCATTAGAACGTTTACTATCATTTTTAGAGTTTTTCAGTGGAATTGTCATGGCGATGATGACGTCCGATCAGATCGACCATCTCCACGCACCACGTCACGTACTACATAATCATTGTAGTAGGTATTCAAAACTCTTCCAAACTAATCCACCTCTCCCATCGGGTGAGGTTGTGGAGTTTCGAGGAGTTTCGAGGAGCTTCGTTTTTCTGAAGAGGCCAATAAAGCCACCTCTTCAGAAAAACGAAGCTCCTCGAAAAGTCAAAGAGTGACAATTGATTGAATTCGAACGCGCCCCAATAGTGATAGAGGGAGCATGCAGCGCCTCAGGCTCAGCTCAGTGCCATGCGCCACCCAATCCGATTTGATTCCCTGACTGCCGACCTGGTCAAAACCGTGGCCATGCAAGCGAAAGGCTCAGCAGGCCCCTCTGGTCTCGACTCGCCAGCACGGCGACGCATGTGCTAGGCGTATAAAGGTGCCCCCAACAACAGTCTATGTACGGCAATGGCGTCCTTCGGCCGCTTGCTAGTAACAGCCAGACTCTCTCTACCCGGTACCCCTTCACAGCCTGTCGTCTAATCGCCCTGGACAAGAACCCAGGTGTCAAGCCCATTGGGGTGTCTGAGGTCCTCGGTCGCACGCACGCTACCTGTGTCCCGATATAGCCAGACAGTCCTGCTTTCATCGCTGGCTACACAGCAGGGAAAGTTCCAGACTGGCAGCAAGAGCGTCTGCGGCTGTCCGAGATTGCCGCTACTGAACCCCATGCGGCATATACCGCCCTCACGCATGGGCTGTGTGGTCGATGGACATACATGTATCTCCTTCGTACACTGGAGCACAACCGAACAGCTGCAGCGTCTGGATGAAATCGTCACCGAGCACTTCCTTCCGGCTCTGACAGGGAAACGCACGTTCACGGCTGATGACCTCTCTTTTCTGTAGCTACCTTGTCGGCTCAGTGGGATCGGTTTGCCATGCTTTCAACTTCAAGAAATCGCTACCTCTCAACTGCAGGCTTCCCAAGTCATCACGTGCAGCCAGGTTGATGAGATCGTCCGCCAGCAAGATAGCGAGCGGCGACATCGTTCCTGCGAATTTGTGGCTCAGCTAGCCCGACGTGAGAGAGTGTCTGCTGCCAAGGCTACCAAGAAAGCTAGTGCTGACAGCCTGCCTCTTTCATTACTCACCGAGAAGTTGGGGATCGCCCCTTGTACAAACCTGCCCGCCTACTGTAATAGATCCGGGAGCAACCGACTTCGAAAAAACCTTGCACATACCTGTGCATGTGTTGTCTTTATTCGCTGCTCCGTTTGGACAATGCCAGACTGCTGCTCCGTTTGGACAATGCCAACTGCTGCTCCGTTTGGACAATGCCAGACTGCTGCTCCGTTTGGACAATGCCAGACTGCTGCTGCTACTGCCGGCGTCGACAAAGCTTGATGATTCTTCACTTATTGGAGAACGAGGACCAGGACTGTGGCTGCCATGGACAACATTACTATCAGTGGATATTGGTGATCTGCCACTGACAACGTTGAAATTTGGCCCAGTGTTGCCCCCAACACAAGTGTTGAAGACGGCAGAAGAACATGCGGCACATGCATGCCGCTGCCACCTTTACCGGCATCTCTGGTGACTGGTGCATTTCCATCACTTGCACCGATCCGGTGGTCGTGGCTGGGCCTTTGCAATGGTGTTGCTATCATCAGCCTTGCTGCATGCCCAGGCATCCGTCTATCCCTCGGGTCCAATTTTTGTTTGTTTGAAACGTGACTACAAACGATTGTACTTTGTTCCGTAGGATATCTAGTGTACGGAGACAACATTTTATCAAGTTCTACCAGCCGGTTTCACTCAGGGGAGGGGCCAAACATACCATTCTCACAATTGCCAATTTAGGCTATAAAAAAAACACCGGAAAACCACTGTTTTGGCCATAGCACTCGTTACCCCGTTTTTCTTGATGTTCAACATCAGGACAGTAGCATACTTGCAAAATATCAACATAAGCTGTAGAAGTGGGTAGAATCCTGCTAGAAGGTGACCTTTTCTCTTTTCGGAATCATCCCATTTCAGCGAACGCGTCTCACATATTAGCCCCGCCCACAAGTATTTGGATTTACCCTGTATTCGATGGTGTTGCAATCACATCATAATAGTGGTACTGTCACACTACTGTGTAGGAAGTTTGAGCAGGTTCTACCGAAGCTAATACTTTTTCAAGGATCAGCACATTGCACTGGGACACTGTCCAACGCCTTAGAACCCCTGACTGCACCATATGACGGATACGTGTCTTAGATTACATGATTGCAACATCATCCGAACATAGTAGTAGAGCTTCGGATCAAGTTTTAGCAGTTTCCACCGAAGCTATTTACTACCAAAATAGAACTTTGAAGTCGCCCACATACCGTATTTTCTCTAATAAAAGCCCAGGTCTCCAATAATAGCCCAGTCTCCAATGATCCGGGGTGAGGGTGGTTTGAAATAATAAGAGCACAGTCTCTAATAGAGGCGCGGGTCACAATTGGAGTATGCATCAAGTAATGATATTTACTGCATATAAAACAGCAGTACAACATGCCAAGAACATATTTGTAAGGAGGTTTTCGGTCTACCATCTGGTCTACTGCTTCCTTCCTGGCGCCAATGCTGTTGTGAAACATCTGTTTTGACAATATTCCTGAGTTTAGGGTTGAAAAATCAGTCTTGATATGGTCAGTTTATGCCTGTATAGACTGGAGTTGGCTTGATAGTTGACAATTGAAAAAAATAAGAGCCCAGTCTCCAATATTAAAAATAGCCCAGTCTCTAATAGTAGCGCGGGTAGAGCTGTCATTGAAAAAATAAGAACCCCTGGCGAGAGAAAATACGGTACTAAATTCCATAGCTGAGCATATGCACTGAGTGTAAAGGTTTTCACAACTGGCTCTTAAACAGTTTCTACCCAAGCTAACTATCAAAATACATGTACTTCGGAACTTTGAAGTCGCCCACATACTAAATAATTCCGTAGCTGAGCATGTGCATTGAGTGTTTGCTCTAATGTTTTTCACAACTGGCTCCAACATGAAGCCGATAGTGATGTGGAATTTGTTGACTGTTTTGTCTTAAAAACATAGTGCGGATTGAGTGAAGCAATGCACATTGGGCACTTTCTACTGGTAATGATTGTTAAATTACCAGTACATGTGCATGTATATTAGTTAGAGTGTTTGCTGCCAATATAGCAAGCAACACTCCCGGCATAGAAATGCGTGTTCCACTGGGTGTGGTCCAATGGCTTTTCACTTCACATCTAGCCACTATTTTTCATGCATTACTTGAATGCATAGTCTTCGTGGCAATGAAGCTAAGAGCCACACTTGAGAAGTTTCTACCGAAGCTAACTATCAAAATACAAAATTTCCAAGATGCTACTACCGGTATTACATCAAGTACCTGTTGACTATCACTCTGTTGAACACAGTATTAGCAAAATCGAGTCACTAAAACACTATTTTCCAGATAAGCTGTTGAGACTGATAGCAGCTATATTATGATCTGATATGGATGGCAGTTACACACTGACCAGCACATGTACACGCATACAGGCAGAAGAACACACCAGTAATACACCTAATGTTACTTCGAAGTACAATCATGTAAATACAAGCATAATAATTATATGCAAGCATCACTCCTGTTCTGCACAACAGTCCTGGGCCACTCCAGCTGGTGAGATTGCATTAATTTCTGCAGCAGGCTTGACTTGTAAAGCCCAGTCGACATTGCATTCTTGAAAATCTTCTGCGAGTGCTGCCTTCCCCTTTCAGTACATAAGAAAGAACGAGTGAAGAGGGACACTAGCAGCAGGTTCTAGCTAGGTCGAAAAGCGAGAAGACGTTTCCTACAACGATTGATCGCACAAAAATCATCGCTACTCGTACCGACAAATTTACTGAAAATCTACACTTTTCAATGCGTGCACGCATCAAAGCTGCTCTAGTTCTGGCATGGTACAGTTGTCATAATCTCAGATACGGGGGCAGCGTGTCCCCTGGCAGTACTGTTCTGCTCTGGGCTCTTCACAACGTTGTCAAGTGGCACCATACTTTTACAGCCAGTGACACGGTTGCTAGCATCCAGACCAGATGTACGTGACTGCTTCACGGCCACTTACTTGCGCTGCTGCTTGTCACCACCAATCTTGTTTTCAGGTTTCATACTCCTAGCGGATCCAGTTTCGGGCACTGGTAAACGGTTTACATTGCCTCCGCTTCTCGATGTAACATAGCAGCCACATCTTGGGCAGAGAACATTGCCAGAAACTGCCGTCGGTGGGGCTGACGAATTGGCAGCAGCAGCAGCATCATCATCACCATCACTATTCTTACCATCACCATTGTTTTCACCACCACCATTGTTTTCACCACCACCATTGTTTTTCCCACCAAAACGATCAAAGACCCAAGCTGACGCTCCAGCAACTGCTCCGCCGACCACACCAGTACCGGCCTGTACACTAGCGAATGCAGCTCCACCAGCACCTGCAGATTGAAGCGTAGCAACAAGACTACCTGCTGCCACCCCTCCACCATTGGCAACTGCACTCACCGACATCAATGAACTGGCAACAGAACCTGCAACCAAGGCAATAAGCAAGCGAGCCAATAGCAACACACGCAGTGTCAACGTGTGAGGAGAATCAGTGGTGTGTCCAGGATTTGGCTGAGGGGTGGGTTGGGGAGATGACATCATGTTACTATCCCAGATCAGCCATTTACATGTATAATGATGTCATTCCTCACACAAGTTACACAGTCACACAGCTATCCTACAACTACATGCAATTACTTCCCATGTATTTCTTCCAGACGTATCTCAGTTACTACAATCACCAACTCATGTAAACCTTAGTTGGTACATCCTTGCACAGCATTTATACATCACTGTCCTCACTGGACCTCACAAAGAGAGCTAGTGTCTAAATCACTGTCATCCGTTCGACACCCATCTCTATCAGTGATACTGCACTATTGTAGGAATGGGTTCTTACTGGCAGCAATGCCTGCTGATGTAAAGCCAGCAGCCGTCAACAAAACTGGAGTAGCAGCGGCACCAACCAAAGCACCACCACCTATTGCAGCCAATGTCTTCCACGGCACACCTGCACCCTTCTTTTCGTCCGGCCTGTGCACATGTGATACATGCCCCGCACATAGAGCGCATATGCATCCACACGCGCACACACATGCATGTTTACACAGACAGCCAGCCAGCCAGCCAGACACAGATATGCACACGTAACACACATCAGTTAGCCTCTGGATTTCAAATCGATTTTGGTACACAAATATTGCATGTGTCTGCACTCTGTAATTCAAAGTTGTTTGTTTGTTTGTTTGTATTCTATATTTAGAGTGGGAAGTCCAAAACAGGCCCGGCCCCTAGCCTAATAACAATGGTCCCACTAGTGAGGGAATGCTGTATATCTGTGCATAAGTATCAGTGAGTGTAACAGCAACTAGTAGGGAAAGAAAAAGAGAGAAGAAAAACAACTCAAAACAGGAGTTGCGACTTGCATAGGAAGAAAATAACGTAAAGAGCAGTGCATACAGCATTTGTAAAAAGGCTTATTTATCTGGTAAGCAAAAAGGCAAGAGCCATTGACTTAAAGCGATTGTGTTTTCTTTCTTGCCTGACCGCAGCGGGGAGCTGGTTCCATAATATGGTCCCAGCATAGGTAACACGTTTGGCAAGATATGCAGTTGGGCTGGCTGGGACAATCAGTAAATTGCTGTGCCCACCACGAGTTTGAGTGGAATTACTGCGGCTGAAAAAGTTAGCGAACAACATGCTGATGTTAGAGGAGTCATGGAAACAACGCCAGATAAAAACCAGAAGGTGCATGTTGGCGTATGTGGTCAATGTTTGGATGTTCATACGTGTAATAATATTGCTTGTGGGTGTCCCGGTTGTGAGTCTATCAGGGTTCTAGCCAGGTCAAAATAGGAAAATGAGTAGGGGCGGCACTTTTTCACAGGGGGCAAACAGAGTAGGGACGCTGCCCCCCCCCCCCACCCCCTTTGGCTAGAACCCTGGTCTATTATAATGTACGCGCAAGATCAGGGACAATCTGACACCGGCTGCGAGAAAGACCTTCTACTGCTCATTTATTCAAGCACACCTTGAATATGGTTCTAATGCGTTTGTACACTGCCTTCACACCACACAACATGATAGACTAACTCGTATTGCTAACCGCACTGTTAGGATTGTTTTTGGTTTCCCTTGGCACTATGATGTCTCAGTCTTATACACCAGATATGGCCTTGCTCCTATTGCACTGCGCTATCAGCTTAAACTGTATATTCTTGTCTTTCGAGCCCTGCGTGGCATGTGTAGCACTCTGCTCTCTGATTGCTTCTGCCTTCGTTCTGCCACAACACGCACAGCTGCCCGTACACGTTCCCAGTCCATAGATTCACTTGCTCTGCCTAAAGCACGCACTCGTTATGGCTTATTCGCTTTGAGCTTTCTGGCTTCTGACCGCTGGAATTCTCTTCCAGCTGACATTCGCTCTTGCTCCTCGCTTTCACTATTCCGCAAATCTATACGTGACCACATAGGGTACCCTGTAAAAAGGCCTTAGGCCTGTGGGGATTGCCCTATTCAAAATTTAAATAATAATATTAATAATACGTGGGGCTCCACTTATAGGCTATTCATACTACGTTAGATCTCAAACCGTTATGGTTTCCAGTCACTGTTCACCGTTAACTGCTACACTCACGGTTTATTTATCGGTTACAGTCGGACCTCGCTTAGGCCAAGTAACAGTTAGGGGTTCGCGACGGTTAGCGCCATGTTGGATTTCCGAATTTTTTCTGAAAAAATTCCTTTCGGAATGGAAAAATGGGACGCGACCATGCAGTTTGCCCATGACCTCGCAGCGCGTGCTCGAGTCGACACAATATTTGAGGAAGAAGCTCAGCCACTAGTTGACTTGCGGATTTGTTTTGACATCGCGGCGGTTTTTGGATAGCTTGGTTCTCCTGCCGACGTGTCGTGGAGATGAAGACGCGGGAGAGTAATCCGTCACCCACGACACGGCCTCGCATTCTGCGTACTGGACGATTCAAGAAGCCGAGGAGGGGGACGCTTCGCAAGCTCAAACGATCAATCGAGTTCCTGAAAAACGGAAAGGGCGATCTCCATCACCAATGCCACTGGATTCGACTCCCGCCGGCGAAGAGGTCGTTTAGTGCCCCTCTTCACGGTCGATGAATCGTTCATCTCAGGTATCTGGCTGTGGGATTGTCTACGTGCCAGAATCCTGGATGTGGCAAACCTCTGGCTCTCATTGATTGCGTTGAAGAGAAGAGGTATGGCCTGGGCAGCGTACTTGTCATTCCGTGTCAGCAGTGTGGGATGGAGAATTTTATAGAGACAGATAGCCCTCTAACTGCTCAACACCCTGGCCCCCGTGCTTCCACAAGCAACACCAAAGCTGCTTTGGGTAAGTGTGTTTTTCAATCTCATAAGATTTATTCATGATATTTGCGAGTCATTGCCACCCTATGGCTATGGAGATGTATGAGCACATTGTATGTGCGGCGCGCGCGAGCGTGTGTGTGTTTGCATAGACCTGCATGTTTGTGCATGTGTACACCATACGCATGTATGAACATGCACATGCATATGCGCTCATGTGGACGTGCCCTCGCACATATACTATACACGTGCATGACCGCTCCAAGGGCATGTTGGTGTGACATGTGTATGCGGGCATCTCCACTCATGCACATGAGTGTGCACATGCATGTGGGTGGGTACGTCCACATGCGTGAATGTATGTGTGTGTACGCGTGCGCGTGTGTTCTATTGCATGTGAGAGCATGCGTGTGTATGTATGTATGTATGCATGTATGTGTGTAAGTGTGTGTGTGTGTGTGTGTGTGTGTGTGTGTGTATGTGTGTGTGTGTGTGTGTGTGTGTGTGTGGTGTGTGTGGTGTGTGTGTGTATTGGCGTGGGCCTGCGTTTTGTAGTGTTCAATGATGAGTGTTTTCAATTCTGATTGCCGGTACTTTTATCCCATTATTGCGGATCTATAATTGTTTTGTGTTACATATAATTATATGTGTGTGTGTGTGTGTGTGTGTGTATGTGTGTGTGTGTGTGTGTGTGTGTGTGTGTGTGTGTGTATGTGTGCACGCATGTGTGTGTCGATGGTGTGCATTTTTGTGCTGGGTGAACACTCTGATCCCTAAACCGCGGTACCGGAGCTCCGAAGCTATAGTCTCACATTGATTTATAGTTCATTGTTGGGAATGAGTTCGCTGCTCATGATGCTGTTGCGGATGTTGCAGCCCTAGCTGAAATTGTCGAAGCTCGCCCTGATGCCAGTATCCTGTAGCAGTCTGTCACTTTTGCATCAGCATGTTCGGCGATGACAGCCTCAAGGAAGATTATATTAGCGGTGGCTGAACACCTAGCCAAGAACCAGCAGCAACCCAACTGTAAGTAACACCCTGTTGCACAGGGCTTCACTTGTTTGTGCGCGCCATAAAATACCCGATCCTTTTTGCCAGTGCTGGGACACGTTCTAGCTCACATACTTGAAGAACAAGAGGACTCAATGTTGTCTGATTCGTTCCAACATGTCAGCTTTCATTGTAATTTGATATGGGGCTGTGCTAAGCGCTATCACACCTACATGTACGTGTATCAAAACCAAGTACCAACAGGAGAGTAATCATGGAGAAAAGTACCTATCGATAATGCGTGCACCCAGGGTTTTCCGGCAAATTCACTAGTTCAGCTATTCCATCCTGGTATTGTTCTGAACGCCGAGGGCTCTAGCGAGTTTATGCAACAACTAACAGCCAAAAATCCAATACGTTTTGACCAAAGCAGCAGCAGAGAAGTACAAGCAATATAGATACGTGAATTTACCAATTTTTAGGCTAATTTTGAGAGTTTTTTGGATTTTTCTCCAGAATATGCACTGTGACCCCTATTTTCGCCACGGTAAACCTGTTCAACCCACTTATAGAACGTATTTGAAGTATCCACATATGGGGCAAACTCAAAAATAAGCTGCAAAAAATATTCAAAGTTTCATTTTTTGCGTCTTTTTGTTCTTCTCCAGGACCAGGAAATGACGACCTGGATCCCATCGTCAACCAAAGTGTACATTTTTCGGCGTTGATATCATCTTAGTCAATACCTCGAACAGTCTGTATAATTTTATGTCATATTTTCTGTCCTATCTGGTGTTATGGACGATTTCTCATCAATTCTCCGATTTTGCGATATTTTGTGTTATCAAGGAAAATTGTGTTTTTGGAAAGACCTATTCAGGCAATTGAAAAACTGATGTTACTAAGGGACCGTCCGGGGTTACGGATTGTTTTTACAAAACGAAAAGTTTTAGTATTTTTCAGCCCCCACCCACCCACCCACCTTTTCTGCAGGTAAAACGAATTCCAATAAAATTTTGATGTCAATTTTCAACACCCAAAAGTAACTGGGCATTCTCCATCTGCATTCAATAATTATTTTCAAAACGAAACTCCATCAAACCCACCCACCGCCAAACGAAATCTTTTCGTTTTGAAAATATTATTGGTAACCTTGGACGGCCCCAAAGCGAAAATAAAAGGTTGTAACTATTCAAACCAGATGTCAGATTGGGCTGATGTTGAAATTAATTTTTTGGACCTAACTGTCCCGAACCCCCTTAACCGGACACATCCGTTTTCCACAAAATTATTCGGATAGGCGAGGGAACTGGATAATCGAACACACATGCGGTATGTATGCATAACATATGCTGTAAATCGGTAACAAACGATTTTCTTCCGGATGGCAAGGGATCCGGATAAAAGAGGACCGGATAAGCGAGGTCTGACTGTATAACCTATAAAAGCTGCGGCAGTTCTGCGAGTAGCTAGTTTGAACAGTATAGTTCAATATACTCGTTTGAAAATGTACCGTGCGGAATTACTACTAATACATGGACATGTTTGCATGCTCATTCACGCATATTCACAGACCAGAAGCACTAAGATGGCCGCGGCATGATGAAGTTGATTAAAATTGTCACTGATGGTACTATGTAGTGTACATTTATTGATGTGTGCGTACGCTATAGGTTGTAAAACTGCCGAAACTCGGTCAAAATGCGTACTTCGAAAACTCGAAAAAGCACTCACAGATTGTATGAAGGTCAGCTAAGTATAATACATCCCACTAGTACGCTTGTACAGTAAAACCTGGTTTCAGCGACCACCCCACGGTGCAAGCAAAAGCGGTCGTTAAAGCCAGGTGGTCTTTAGAACCAGGTCCCACAGTGTCTGTGTAGAACTGTCGGTGCATGGAAAAAACGGTCGTTAAGAGCAGGTGGTCGCTAAACCCAGAGGTCGCTTACACCAGGTTTTACTGTATGTGAAATATAAACCATCATACAAAGTTTGAAACCTCGGCTATGCCTCGGTTTGTATCAGGGAGTAGTACAATATTGCACTACTGTATAAGTACAAATTTTCGTTCACGAAATCTTTCGTTAGATCACTCCACCAGCAGGTTCGTTACATACTAATTTCGTTTTTGGTCGAGGTCTAGACGTCCGTCACCCCGAATGTTCAGAAAAAAAAAACTTTAGCTTGGCACAAACTTTAGTTATTTCGCGCCCCTTAAACGAATATTGGGAAAGTTTATTCCAAACGAAACTTTGTACCTATACAGTACTCCCTGGTTTGCATATCGATATCGGTTCATATTTCACGTACAAGCGTACTGTTGGAATGTACCGGTATAATAATACCTGTACATTCCGGCACTGTAATATTTTGGCACTTACTTATCTCCATTCGATCCGTCTGCCGCACCGTTTGCACTTGATGGTGGCGCTGTGTTCTCTGTCTGTTCTCGTGGCTCGGAGTTGCCTGGCGTGCAGCATTGGCACATCGGAAAATCAGCCCTGCCATTAGCTAGATTAGGAGGCCGCTGCGTGTCAGGAACATTACGGCCCTCTTCCGCTGAGTCACGCGCAGTCGCAGGCATTCCGCAAGCCGAACACTCACGATGGATGTGCAGTAGAAGGCTTGAGAGTACGACGTACTGAATGGTGGCCAGCACGCCCTGGGCAAATCTCGACCTGCTGAGCAAGTAAGTAACACGACTTGAAAGCACCTCGGTGTCAAAGACGTGTGCTCTAAAGTAGGGATGTCAGCGAACGCACTGCGCAGGCCTCTGCGCATGCATTGCGTCATCGATTTTTTGAAGCGAAGGACTAAAGGGACGCTGGTCTAGGAGTGCGGCAGTTTTTGCGCGCCATGGCAACGAGGAGTGCGCGCACGCGAGAGCCACCAGCGCAAAGCGCTGCAGACTTGCGGCGGGACAGCGAGTGAGACACTTGGCCGTGACCCAGTACGAGTGCAGTCTTGACCAGGGAGCCCTACACATACCGGTATGTGTAGGGCTCCCTGGTCTTGAGCTACAGGAGGTAAAAAGTTACTCGATCGGATAGAGCGAAACTGAGCACCATGGGATGCGAGCAGCTGTTAGTACTCCCGACCAGGGAGCCCTACACATTGTGTAGGCACCTTGCTTGACAGCAAGGAACGCTTTTTTTTAGAAAGGAAGCTTCTTCTCCAAAATTTAAAAAAAAAATTAAAATTATTCCTTCTGAAACTTGACCTCGAAGCTGACTGCTGAATGCGATTAGGATTCCTGAAGATGCACCAGACTGATTCTGGCAAGCCGTCTGTCGTCTGGATATGCACTGTTGTTCGTCATGGTCAGCAATCTTCTTCGTTCGTCCTTTCGTTTTCGTTTTCCGCGTATTACTTCAATATTATTTGAGCCCTGTGATGAGAAAAGGGACCAAATGGCTTTTTTTACTCAAACCGAGCTCTAAACATCAGAAGAAAGCTGGTTTCATGCAGAAAACGATGCAAAAAACAGAGCTGAATTATCTCAATTTTTGACAAAGCTACGGTCAATCTTCTAAGTGTCTTTTCAGATATTTTGCAGCCATACGAAGAACAGGATCATACAAAACTTTGAGGACTTATTGACACGAAATGTATGGGAATGTTTGAGCCTGCACACAGCCTGTAGTTACTGGCAATTGACACTGACATTTGACTGGGCCAAGAGGAAAAACTGTACAAGGTAATACTGGCATGCCACCACCATCAAACACACAAAGATGGAGCAAGTCCACGTCCCGAGACATTAAAAATACAGCAAGAAAATATACAACCAGCAGCAATTTGGCATTAAAAAAGTTTTGAAGTAGCCGTGAGGTAGCAGAGTCTGTTACATTACTCCTCCACCGGAGAAGCACTAGTAGCGGCACTAGCAGACACATGCACAGCTGGCTTCGGGCAGAGCTCATCCTGGAATTGGTCAGGCACATGCGGGCGGATCTGATTATAGAGGTATTGCTGTCGTTGTTCGGATAGTCCTGGTGCTTGAAGGACTGGGGGCATCCCTGCGGCAACAAGGGCGTCTTTAGACGTGGTGAGCACCTCCACATCGCTGTAGGTGTCTTCCAGGGATGCCTTGACACTGACAATACCGGGCTTAGCTGCGTCGAATACCATGTGCTGAACCTTGCGGATTCCTTTCACTGGCTTGAAATGTTGAGCCAGAAATGTATCCCAGGCTCTCCATTCCAAACCAGATCCAGGAATCAGCTGGGCCTTGTTGCAAGATGCGCTTTCATTGACCACTGCCACCAGCTGCCCCATGGTGTAGCAGTCGCTACGCCGGAACTTTTGCTTCAGCAGGCCAAAGCAGCCATCGACAAGGCACCGGGTATGGCCAGTCAACATGAAGGACAGTTCAATACGGTCATGCAGTCCCATAATCACCCTCCAGCAGAAATACGCTACGATAGTCCGATTCTTGTTCTGGCCTGCGCAATTATCACAGTGCAGGAGGCAGCCTTTCTCATGTAGTCCATAGAATGAAAAAAAATGGTGCAGCATGGAGGCCACCGCGTTCGGACCATGACTCGACTTGCCGTCTTGCCCGATGGTGTCTGACTCGTCGATCAGGTAGTTGACCTGCTGAGGCACAGCTTCATTGTTCACACCGAATATTTGCACCTTACGAGGTGCCTTAAAGTACAGGGGGCCCTCCTGACGTGCCGACTGCCGCAGTGCCACGTTCTGGGCAAAGTCGAACGTGTAGTGCGGGTGGTGCAGATCGCGTGAACATGGCTGGCTCAGCTGCTGCTGGATAGTCGTACATGCATCAAGCTCTGCCCGGGCCTGTAGTGTCGCTTGACGGTAGTAGTCACGCTCTGCTTGCGTTGCGTCGAGGTGTTGTTTGAATTCATCGCATGCTGCACTCTTCTCGGGTTCCGTCCGTGCTTCCTGAATCCGTCGGCGGAAATTCTCACAGCGCGAGCATACGTCAGTGCGCGGCGTCATAATCTGAATGTTTGGCAAGCAGTCAAGCCAAACGGACCGAAATGTGTGGTAGCCCACAGCCCTGATGCCTGATTCCTCTAATGAGGTCACATAGCACTTGTGGATGGATTTAACCGTTGATGACGCTGGCAGATAAGTTGGCGGTGCTCCAGCTCGCCCTCGAGTCGGTGCTGGCTGTGGTATGCCGAAGCGCTCAGTGTAAGTTTTTAGAAATTGCACAACGGCAGACACAGTATCGTACGACAAAGCATGTTTAGGCTTCCTGCCGACATTGCCATGGGTCCGTGGCACCAGCCCATTCTCCTCCAAATGTTTTTTCAGATTTTTTAGTTGCTTTGATCCGATGTTGTACAGCAATCGAAATCCACCGGCGCAAACCTCTTCGCCTTGGTAAGTATACCGATGCCATTGCTTCTTTCTCTTCTTCCCATGAGTCGTGGTGTCAGTAGAGTACTTGGATGACTCAAGAAGGCCCAAAATCACCAGCTCCTTCTCCCCTTTCTCCATTTCTGCGATGTTGAGCTGCAGCAGTCGAACATCTTCTGCATCAAACTTGTCCAAGCACTTTTTGCTGCACCCGCAGTTCACAGTTATTTCTTCCGCAGCTGCCGCCTCAGCAAGCGCTGGTTCTGCAGCCTGCGCTGGTTCTGCAGCCTGCGCTGACTCTTCGCCGAGGTATGATGCTGCAACTGCATCCACATCGAGTGACTCGTCCAAAAAGTGGTCTTCCCGATCATCGCCGTCTTCATCAGAGGAAGAGGATAGTTCTGACAACTCCAACGACAACTCCCTGTCAGAATCATCACTTGACTCGGCAATCTCCACTTCGATGCCCAAAAACTCTCTATCTAGCTCTGTCAAAGCTTCCCTGAGACTCGCATCAACGGTAAATGTTGGGATCGACATGTTTGCAAACAAATTTCTAAGCAGAACGAGAAAGAAACATCTGAAGTGATGTTCAAAGATTTTCTCTTTGCAACGGCAGCTCCTACACATTGTGTAGGCACCTTGCTTGACAGCAAGGAACGCTTTTTTTTAGAAAGGAAGCTTCTTCTCCAAAATTTAAAAAAAAAATTAAAATTATTCCTTCTGAAACTTGACCTCGAAGCTGACTGCTGAATGCGATTAGGATTCCTGAAGATGCACCAGACTGATTCTGGCAAGCCGTCTGTCGTCTGGATATGCACTGTTGTTCGTCATGGTCAGCAATCTTCTTCGTTCGTCCTTTCGTTTTCGTTTTCCGCGTATTACTTCAATATTATTTTATTAGTGCAGTAATTGCCAAGACAGAAGACTGCAGTACGAACTCGTACTCGTAGCAGCAGCAATGCCAAGAAGAGCAGGCAGCGTAGCAAAAGCAGTCACAACAACGCAGACGCAATAACATTTTCAGCAGCCGTTCATCTCAGAGGGGATGCAGCGCCAAACTGCGAGGGTGGGGTGGTAACTCTCACAACCAATGCCTCCGCAGGTAAGTACTAGTAAAGCCTCTTGTGCGGGAAAAATGAATTGCACATATCATCAAACAAATTCAAATTCAGTAAACTACTTTGAAGTACAAAAATCAATTTAAATGCATGAATCTTCACTAGTTTGAGGGAAAGAGACAAACAGGAAAAGTCTGAACAAAAATGACTGTCACCACCTGGACTCGAACCAGGGACCTTCGCTTGAAGCCAGCGATGCTCTAACCACTGAGCTATGGTGTAGTCGTCATCCCAGCAGAGACTGTTCAACATTTTCTTCAGACTTCGTAACTTACACTTCCTGTGAATCCACGCAGGCGGGTGGGACGCAGCCCTCACTGTACCCACACACTTCACGTACACTCTAGCACGCGGGGAGCCCCAAGTCATAAAAATGCATGAATGTTAGTATTAAACACAAAAATATAAAGTAAAAATCAATTGGAACACAAAAAAGAGACAAAAACCCTAGGTAAAAGAGCCCACAGAAACATTACCGTACTGGCAAAGAACGGCAGCTATTTACAAAGGCCCTATTCCTACGCCTGTATGATGCCCGGGACCCTCTGATACAGATAAGTACTATTATATAACCCTGTTCTTACTCGAACATGCCTCCGGATAGCACACGACTCGTTGTTTTAGAAGACTGTATTATAATGTTTTACTCTGACTCTGATCGAAATCATCTTGCAGTACAAAGGAAAGTTCTGCCTCTCTCGAAGCAGAAGCGGAGATTCAAGAAACATTCAAATCAAAAGATTGCGCGAAAGCAGTGTACGCGACTACGCGCATCAGACGTGAATACAACATGAGAAGTGAAAGCAGTGTACGCGACTACGCGCATCCAGACGTGAATACAACATGAGGAATGAAAGCAGTGTACGCGACTATGCGCATCAGACGTGAATACAACATGAGGAACGAATGCGTAGTAGTATGATAATGCACAACAGTACAACAAGCAGTGCTGATAGACACATAAAACGGAGTGGCTCTGCACCATTATCAGTGGGCTGGATATAGACTGTACAAACCCAATACTAGTACAATACTAGTATTAGGTAAACCTTGTTATAGTTCATACATGTTGTTAGTTTGACAGCATGAAACAAGGTGGAGGACACAACACCCAGCTGGAGAAACTAAAGAAGTCAGTTACGACTGCCCTTGAAGCTGAGAAGTTGTGTGAGCTCAGTCTGTGCGAGCGGTAGGTTCATTATCCAAACAAATGGCGAAATAAAAAGTTGCCAGAAGAATAACCTCTACAAATAACCACTTGTGTTATCCACATGTATCAACTACTTATCAGCATTTCAAAGAATATTCTGATTCTGAAAACAATCGTTTCAATGCTCGACCTTATTATAATGATGATAAACTGAACACAATTCAAGAATACTATAACTCAACACATAAGAGATTGGAACTCAGACGGTGAGCCAAGAAAAAATTGTAACATGGAAAAATGTGGGCACAAGGCACTTTCATGCCGTGGAATGTCTCCGTGCTCCTTGTCAGTTTTGTGCTGGATTGTGCACGTCCGACTCTTCAAAATCTGGCTTAGTTGGTAGACTCAATCGCATAACTTGTGCCCACATTTGTCCATGTTACATAAGTGATATGAATGTTATCTAATCTGGCACTCAATGTGTTACATTTTGTGTGTTATCTTGCAATATCACGCGACTCAATATCACATCAGACTAATTATACCAAAGTTCCGTTCGTTTCTCTGCAGGGACTGGGAGGATGGGAGTTGAAAAATCCACAGCTGATGCAAACCGGATTTTTAATGTATGATGTATATGTGTTTTTTTTCTGCACCCTACTAGGTTCATCCTTAGCTACCCCACAGCTGAGTGCCATACTGGTCATGACGTAACTACAGAAACAGGAAAACTTGGAGCTGAGCCAAGGGCAAGGTAAGAAACTAAGAATCACTCCTGGACATCTGAGGCTTCATGCAAACGGTGATAACGGCACACTCGCCATGACTTTGTTTTGTAGGCTCTGTTGAGAAGCGACACTCCAACGCGTTCACCTGTGACCACCACGGCACAATGTATAGCGCGACAAGGCTGGTGTGATATTCAGTACTGAGAACGTGACCGCGGTCCGAGCAACAAACAACACCTTTGTGCAGTTGACAAGACCCTTGTTCACCCTTGACCATTCCTGGAGCAATATAAATCTAAATCTGCAAAAAAAAACTCTCTCTTCAGCTACTTGTTTTCTCCTGCAACCTTCTCCAGGACTGTGCTGCTTTTTAAAACTACTGCCATGTCCAGCAAAATCCAGCCGTATCATGCTCAACTAGGGTCAGGACCATACAGTTGTTGCCCACAGGGACAGTTGTCTGTGTACTGCTGCGGGGTACTGATGTTTTATTTGGCTGGATTTCATCAACAACGACTACTTTACCATTCAAATGGTTGGTTGTTACCTGTGATCTCTGTGTTCTCTTTGTAGAACTTTATACCTGTGCATGGCCATGATCCCATGTACAAACAGCCCCAGAGAGTACCCATGCGTGCTGGCAGCTTACTCATCTGGGACCAGCGTGTGGCGCACGGCAGTCGGCCCAACAACAGCACGCGAGCAAGGTACGTCAGAACACTGCTACGTATATGAGTATTCGTGTGCGTGTGTGTATGAGTGTGCGCTCGTGTGTGTGTGTCCGTATTTGTTTTAAAGTTTGATGCAGTGGTTTGTACTAGGTGCTTTCCCGCCTACTCAGTTCTCACCAACCAGACTGATATCTATGATAAAGCTCTGCTCTACGGTACATGAGTAGATGATGCTCTCCGGATATCTAGCAGCATCTAGACCCTCCTGGAATACGGAGAACTTAATTATGGGCTGCTTATCGCTATAGGCTACTGACATGTATTGTACTATGGTACTTGAAGTCTTGAATAGTAGTCGTTGGTGGGAAAGGATCATCCCTCTAGGCTATGTGTGGGTTCGTGTTATGACAAGTTCTTGTGGACCTACAATGTCCTCTGCAGGTATGTTCAATTTGTAAAGATGTTCCCATCCATCAACCTCCACTCAGAACGAGCTAAGAATCGTGGACAGCTTATCAAGGACAAGGTATGTTGCGGGTGCTCCGCCGGCTGATGTGACCAGTAATGGATGTGTCTGTCCTGCTGCTAAGTATACGAGATCTCGTAGTCCTTAGGCTGTTTTGTTGTCCTGCTGCTGCCTAGCGGATCATGTGATTGTTTGCTTCCCTGTGTGTGCTCTGGGTACTGCCCCTCGCGTTGTTTCCTGTAGCTGTGTGCTTATTGTGCTGTTGTCTGTGTTCTTGTATTCACATCCCGGATACCCTTGCATTCATGTATCCACATCATCCGGGTGACGTCACATGCCTATCATAGTGCCAGTGGTGTAACGATGTGCTAGTATTGTTTTCCTGTGTGATGACATTCCCCAAACTGTCTCCTGTCTCGCATGCGCACGTGTGATATGAGCATGCATGATTCGTGAGTCTTCAGTCAGCGAGTCTTGATACACACATATAACACAGTGTTATCTCTGTGTTTACACGGTGTACTTGTAGGTTGAACTAGCTGGTGTCGACTTGACTGACCTGGGCAAGAAGCTGTGTGCCCTCAAGGCATGGGCATCCGCGGACACGAAGGTGCCCCGCGCCAAGGCTAAGAAAAAGACATAGACTACGTGTTCGCATGGCTCTTTGTACATTCACAGTTGAGTGCCTCGTTTTATGTGTGTATGTTTAAATCATGTACACCCTCTGATGGGAGTATGATAATGTAGTCATCTAGACGGCTGGCCTGTCCCTAGTGTTCCAAGTGCATATTGACGCTAACCTCCAATGTTATATCCAGCAAGTATCAGATCTGCACTATCGCACATAGAACTGGTGTATATTTCTTTACTGTGTTGATCACTACCCTACTAGCCACAGTCATATTTATATCAACAATAACGTGGGCACCGCATTATTTTTTGTTTGGGAGCTGTCGGTATGCCGGTAGCATGGGTCACGCTAGTGCAAAATAGGCTAGACTACATGCAGCCAAGAACCAGGCACTATTCCATCCAAGAAATAGTGGGAGTAGCTATCCTGATGCCTTGCAACATGTCCAAACCACTTCAACTTGATGCTTGGTAACGAGAGAGCTTGGAAGCTCAGGGCCCTACGCTATGCTTTTTTGCCTTGATGACCTAGACAAAAAAAAGCATAGGGATGTTATAAATTCTTATAAGTCTCTACTTTTTTGTTTTTAGACATATTAAACCTGGGATTCGAACCCGCACTATCGCGCGCCCTGCATGCATCCCCCGATACACTTCGCATACATACTAATTCTTCCAAGTTGCTTCACGTTATGATCTTGTATTTGAAAGCCCTATTTGAATATGCATTGTGGCCAGCCGTTTTTGATTGTACGGTACGGTCAGGATAGGTACGGTCGAGGGTAATACGACACCGTCTACCGCCTTGATGACGGCAAAAAAAAGAAAAGGGATGTTATAAATTTTTCTCCTATTTTTTTCGGGCATTACCTGGGATTCGAACCCGCACTGTCGCCCTGCATGCATTCCCCCATACACTCCGCATTCATACTCATTCTTCCAAGTTGCTTCACGTTATGATCTTGCGTTTGAAAGCCCTATTCGAATATTGCGGCCAGCTGTATGTGGCCAGCTGTGTTTGATGGTACGGTTCAGGACAGATACGGGATAGCGCCAGGCGTGACACAAACACCAAATTAAAGCTGTGTGGACCCTGGCTAGCGCCAGACGTTACTGAAGTAACGTCTTCAGTAACGTCTTCTGCATAGCTACGGGAATAAAACTAATTATGGACCTTACTTAAGTATTTAAAAAAATAGTTCAATACTCGTAAAATGAGTGCCAATGGGCAAATGTCCGGTGCTGCACTGAGAACGCATGAGTGGTGACATCTCGTACTGCAATAGGCACTACTTGTATCACGACTAAACATCTTGGTCGTGTTGCTTGATTGCTGCGTCCATCAACTCAATGCACACGTTGGTGGCTTGCTGCGCCAAGCGGCTGACTGCGTGGAAGTTGAGGAAGCCATGGGATATTCCGTCGAATGGGCGTAGTGTCACATCCTTGCCGAGTGCGTGCAGACGACGCGCCATGACGATGGAATCATCCAAGAGGGGGTTAAATGAACTTGGCTGAAAGGTACAACAGAACGGATGGAGAGAGAGAGGGAGAGAGAGTGTGTGAGAGAGAGAGAGAGAGAGAGAGAGAGAGAGACATGCACACACACGCACACACACACACCTGTACTTGTACTTGTTGCTCACTGCCAAAAGTGGTCACGTGGGTCTCCCCGGGAGAGGGGAGAGAGACTGTAAAGGAATCTTGGAAAGATGACTCAATTGGTTATTGAACCGCCCAACGGCCGACACCCCCTGAAATCCCCAAAACTCTGGGTGGACTTGAAAACGATCCCACTTATGGGCTCACCACACCTCAGTAAGTGGGTGTGGACAAGGTGCAGAAAAAGGATTGACGGCATCAGGGTATCCGTCCTGGGATCCAACTGCAGTTACCCCTGCCCCCAGTGGAGGTAATACTTGCTACTAGTGCGGGTGGCTAAATCAGGCTGGATCTGATTTAGACATCACTAGCACCATCGATTACACAAGAGTTAATCTAGCCAGAAGCAGTCCATGGTTAACAGGTATGTATACTTCAAATAGAAAGTATATGAACCCTGGAACCAACAAAGGTGGCAAGTACAACATTACACCTTCAAGCAGCTGAGCCCGTTGGCAACATACCCAACACAATCAGGCATAAGTATACCCACCAACTGAACTAGCTGGCACACACACACACACACACACACAGAGTAAGAGATGACCCATAGCACGAAGAAATCTATCGGCAAAGAAACATAGCTTTCTTACTTGAACACCCACAAAGGAGCACAATAATGTAGCATGTTGAAATGTTCTTGTACTCAAAGATACCGATAAGAAGTACGGCTGAGCCTCAGGCAACTCTTCCACTAGACAGCAGGGGTCCTTCTCCAATGGAGGTCGCTGTCATGGAAGTTCTATCAGCTCATACTGCACACTACTCTCTGTGGAAGGGGTGCTAGTAACCCACCTTCCCATTCCTAGCAGGGTCAAGCACATACATGTAGATGTAGATGTGCTTACCAAGGTGCTCTGTACACACTTCACATGACTGACTATGAGAGAGAGGTTAAGCTGCACGTTATTTCTGACGTGATGCGCAATATCACGTCAAATTAGGCGTAAACCTTCAAATTTCGACGTGAGCTGCAGGTCACTCGCGTTGTTTTCCAACACGCGAGCTGAACTTTCGTGTCACGTAAAGCTTAACCTCTCTATTAACACCCCTTCCCAGACACGCAACATGTCTCAGGCACAATCGATTTTCTATGGAACTCACATGGCCAGCTACTCATTACACACAGACTAGCTGCTCCATACATAGCTACTCATTACACACAGACTGCTCCTTGCATTGATCAGTAAGGCTTGAAAATGCTAACAGTACAGTCAGACCTCGCTTAACCGCACACATCCGTTTTCCACAAAAATATCCGGATAGGCGAGGGAACTGGATAACCGAACACCGGTTACATTGGATGCATCACGTATGCTGTAAATCTGTAGCCAGCTATTTTCTTCCGGGTCGCGAGGGATCCGGATAAGCGAGGTCTGACTGTACATCACACCCAGACCCAGAGCTACAGGGCACGGCCTGTCACAACATTGCTGACCTCTGACTCTGTGGCTCCAAAAGATCCTGTGAAGTACGTACATGTGCATGTACTTCAGAATTAGGTTGTTTACATGCTCATCATGTCACATGTAGAGACTACACAGAAGACTCTCTACTCTTGGTCTCCTTTTTGGTGAAACACACTTCCAACATTGCACATGTTGTAAGGTTGCCTAACTTAGTTACATGTACATGACTATTGCATCTAGTCACAATTCACACACCTACGTGTGGTATAGCAGTGCTTGGGTTTTCCGGGGCATCGGAAAGGTTCCTTCTCGAAAGAGTTTTGGACAGGGGTGTATTTGCGGACAGTTCCTGATCAATAGGCTAGCTTGTCAATACTATAAGTACGGAATTAGCACTCCTCAGCTACTGGTATGTGAATGCATAGCTCATACCGTACTGCCATGTGTGCTATAGTGGCTTACCAGCAATGCAACCGATGGTAAGCTGTGCAGCATCTCATCACTGGCCAGCAGTGGAGAGAGGTAAGCCGGCGAAGCATTCAGAATGGTGGCATGACAGTGGTGGATGCCCGACTGCAGCTGTGACAGGTGACCGGTGTTCGGGTGATACTCTGGCGTGCTGGACAGGACAAGAGAAGAACACCATGAACTGGTACTCACGGAGCAATCAGCGTTGCGGAGTGCATCCACAGCATAGCCTAGCAGTGCGAGCACAGAGAGACTGAGAGAGTGGATTCCGATGACTTTAAGGAGACTATAGCAAGGGCAAAGGCAAGTCACACGGTCCACGTCCACCAAACACCTGCCTCTAGTCACAGAGCTCTCTGTCCTCATCCATCACCAACGTTGCATCAGATAAAGAAAGCAAGACAAAGGAAGCGACGCAGTTTTGTTTCAATTCCAGGTGATGAAAATCAAAGCTCGAGGTGATGAAAATCAAAGCTTGAGGTGATGTGCACACAGCTACCCAGAAAGTGACAAAACCATACAATGCTGCTCAATGAAATCCGGTTGTGCACAGCATACACAGCTACCCAGAAAGTGACAAAATCACAGCTAACCAGAAAGTGACAAAGTCACAGCAAAGCACTTTAAAGTACAGTGCTGCTCAATGAATTCCGGTCGCGTGAGTCAAGTTTGCGCCTTGCACCATTTTGCAGCCCAATGTTCGCAGGTCTAGTGCAACACCCAGTACGTACGTGAGTGACTCGACTGGATTTCATTGAGCAGCACTGTAGGTTCTTTCACATTGCATAAGCACAAGACATGAAGTGTGAAAGTTGATTATCGATGTGCTAAGAACGTGACTTGGTGTAGTTTCACCGTAGTACACGTGGACACACAAACACACACACACACGCACGCAGAGGGAGACTGCAGCCTACAGCCAATTCCGTCCCATATTGTGCGAACAGCTCTCACATTGGGTGAACTGAGCAACCTCCCAGAGAAGGTGCCTACGTTGGCGTGGACAAAGTAATGTAACGCCTATCATTGTCACTACGTCGCATACAGTCAAACTTCAGTAGAACGTATCAGGGAGTAGAAAAACACCGGTATTTACGTACTCCCTGAGCGTACCTCTAGGGCCAGTAGGGGACATCCACCTCAATGATTCACAGGTGAGGTACTTCACACATGAGGTCTGGGAAAGGATACGCAGGGTCGTCGAAACAGCACTCCACACCCGATGAAAGGAGAAAAGGGTGTTAGACCCTGGGTATTTAATGTTGAAGCCTAACTTTTATTTCATGCCACCTCGCTTGTCACACACCAATACCGCAACCACGTTAGCTATAGTTTTAAAAGTTACTGTCTCCACGCCGACTGTTCACATTACAAGGTAAGGGTATATATTGTGAAATGGGCAATCCTATTTGCACCGAAGGAATTTTTACTTGGAGTGACAGTCTATGCACCTCTTATCAGCTGTCACTATCCAAAGATGAACACGTTTGCCAATTCTAATGTGCTAATCCCAGGAATGCACTGTACAGTGAAATTTCCAAGGAAAAGAAGAACTGGTATCTCACCTGCCTCTCCCCCGGTACGCATTCAAACATGCCCGCAGCGTTCCAATGGGTAACAGCGGATCCATTACGCTTAGGCAGCGTGCCGGTGACAGATCCAGTGAGATTTTCAGAGCAGGGTACGCGCCCAGAACCAGACACGGCTTCCGAAGCTGGTACTGCGCAGCGAGGAATGCCACTCCGAAGACAAAGTTACCTCCAGCCGAGTCGCCGGCCAGGATGACTTTCTCGGCAGTGGTACCCAGGCTGGTGGCGTTCCTCAGCACCCAGGCGTACGCGTAGAAACAGTCGTTGACGGCACGTGGGTACGGGTGCTCGGGGGCCGTCATGTAGTCAACGGACGCCACGGGAACGTTGAGCTGGTTGGCCCAGTGGCTTAGATAGCTCTGCATGAACAATACACCACAAGGAAGACACATGCATAGGGTATACTAATATTATGTACAGTGCTGCTCAATGAAATTCGGTCGCGTGAGTCAAGTTTGCGCCGTGCACCATTTCGCAGCCCAGTGTTCGCAGGTCTAGGGCTGCGCAACGCCCGGCACGTACTTGAGTGACGCGACTGGATGTCATGGAGCAATACTGTACTATTGTATATGGGGCCAAATGAAAACCTGGTGCACATCCGTGTTACACACATGACACAGTATCTTTTTATTGGCTAGGGCAGCGGAGAAATGGATGGAGCATGGCAGCAAAGCACACCCATTTGTTTCCAATGACCTACCACATGTGACTGTGACGTTTGCGCCAGAAACCCTCCACCATGGAAGTGAATGATGACTGCCTTAGAAGGCTCAGAGCTGGCACTCTGCAGCAAAAAGAGAGTGTTGAGCATGGTACAGAACAAATCGTCAACGTCAATCGCACATGGCATGCTAAAACTTTTGTTTGTTTGTTTTGAAACTCGGATGTTTTTTTCTTCTTTTTTCTCTCTACAAAATCCACATTATCTCCAGACAATGGGGCGAATAATGGAGTGTGCATGTGGTGGTGGGGCCCATTAAGCTCAGCCGACCAGAGGTCTCGGCTTTATATCTCCATGGACGCACCAAAGGGGGATCGGGTAGGAATATTTAAAAGACCACGGACAGCTATTGTACTCTACGGTCGCGGAGCACACATACAAATGTCACCTTACTTCTCACAGTGACTTACATGAAGGCCGAGGCACCGTCCATAGAAGCTTCTCCGCTCCATACTCTCAGCAGTGTCCAGAAAGTCGTCCGGAAACTGAGTATGATCAACGATCAGGTCGCCAGTCTTGTCCACTTGCACGACAGCGTAAATGACTTTAAAAAGCTGCGCGTGATCCCTGAGCAGCTCTGAATGTTCTTCAAGTGCTGACACAGCCTGTGCGAAATCTCTCCTAGTATTCGATGAGGTAAGCAGTGACTTGATGATGTCATCAAGCACCAATGTACACGTGGAGAATATGGATACACTAGATCGCAGTCCGTTGCTGGCTACACCCGGGTAAGTATTGTAGCGGGAACATTGCTGCAGCAAGTAAGGGATGGTGCTGAGCAACGACCCGATCGCAGCGCACAGCATATGACAAGCGGAAGCCAATCGGGACCTCTGCTCCGGGCTCAGTGCTCCGCCACTGTTGCTGCGCTGTTCCTGCTAGCATGCTGGAGACGCTGCACTTGCGCTAGCAGCCCTTGCAACGCTGCGTTTGTGACACGTGGTGGAGCGGAATAGTGACGCGCTGCACTGCGTGACGCGGGGCATTTCCAGTGACGGTGTGTCACCAGCGACGCAGTGTACTCGCCACTACCTGTGTCCGCTACACTCACCAAGTTCCTGGTACTGACAACAGCTACTGAGCAGGGAGCACCGGTATGCTGTTTCACAACACGGCTACACGGTGCAGCTGGGCAATACGCCGAACTGATACAGCGGGAGTGAGAAAGCAGCAGCTGTGAAGCAACGACAGGTCAGGTGGCGTTACGTGCTACTGTTGATGCCGCCATAACAAGAAGCTAGGCAATAAGAGTCCCTTGCCAGGGCAGGCAGTCCAATTGGTTTCAAAGGTCAGGCAAAATCACAAGTCCTGCGGAGCACGTACATGAACACATGTTCAAAGCGCATGCAAGGCAATTGCAAGCTCATACACACACACAAAACAGTTGTGCACGGCACATTCAAAGTACACACTGCTCACACATGAAGACACATAAGCACATATGCGCGCGCACGCGCACACACACACACCGACACACAAGCAAACAGAGAGACAGACACACACAGAGATGAGACTCTGACCAAACACATGTACTAGTAAAAGACCGCATGCACAATGTCAATGTGATGCACACCTCCAAGACGGAATGGGCGCTTTCAATAGTACACATACTACTTCTGGTGCTTTGAAGATCCAGAAAACCCCAGTGTAACACCGGCTTTAGCCTACAGGTTTGTACACACTGTGGGTGACATTGCATACAAGTAGATCAGCACATCTAGTACATGTACGATTGTTCTTCCACTTCAAGAATCGTCCCTTCGTTTCACAGCACAGAATAGCTGTCTCTCAGCTGGTAATCAGCAGGGACATTCTCTACTTGCGAAGACTGAGTGATTGCCAGCACTCGCCCATTCCTTCCACAAGCGATGTATAGATATCACTGTTCGAGTATTTTTCTTTCAAATCTGAGACCATTGACAGGATCGGAAGGAGAGCTCTACTGCAAGCCAGAAGTCAGGCTGGCGTCAGGCTGTCGTGAAAAGTAACGAATTCAAACCGCTCCTCAACAAAATCATTATCAATCCAAGTAGAGTGACTTTCAGGAACTAATCCATCGTCTTGTTCATTCAGCAAGCATCGCTTTCCTATGTTTTTCGCTTTCTCCAGAAAAAGATGCGCGAAAAAAATAGAGTCTACTGCAAGTACTCGTGCTGCACTGTACGAACTACTACCTGGGTCACGGCGAAGTGTCTCATTCGCTCTCCCTGCCGGCGTTCCGCAGCCTACATTACGCTTTGCGCTGGTGGCTGTCGCGTGCGCGCACTCCTCGTTGCCATGGCGCAAAAACTGCCGCACTCCTAGACCAGCGTCCCTTTAGTCCTTCGCTTTTTTGAACGTGATCGCGGCCGACAGAGAAAACATGGCCGCGGTCTGTTTGCACCGCTGGGAGTCGTAAAATTACTGTTCTTCTGTCCCCGCGACCATTCAAATCATACGCGATACAGGAGGACCCACGAGCTCACCACGTTCTCCCCGGTCGATTTCTCTGAAAGTTTGCACATCGTGAAACACCAGTATGAGAGGTGTTCAGGCCAATTTTCAAGGGATTACCCTGGTTGGATCGTACCAAAATCGGACTTGCATTTCTCGCTCGCGGCCATTTCTTGCGCGATGGAAGCGCCCTGCCCTGGTGAGTAACCAGCGTCGCGCTTGGTAGAGAGTTGCTGAAATCAGCTCCCCGATGTCTTCGCTGCCATTGTCAGAAGCGATGGGCCCTGAATTTGTTTGAGAGTCTCTGGATGCTACTTTTCCTCAGCCTAGTTTTCAGCCATTCCGTGCATCTTCTTCGCACGATTTATTTTGCAAAAAAATGAAAGGGTTCATGAGTTTTTTTGTCGGCCACGCGTAGATGGGCCAGGCTGACCTGCGCAGATGGGCTGCGCAGTGCGTTCGCTGATATCCCTATCTAAACTTAACTAAAGACTAAAGCAGCAAGACTGAAGAGTGAAGTACAAAAAAGTCCAGCTAAGTAATCGATTGTGAATGAATCATGCATGGACGTATGCATCCATTTCCCGCCGTGGTTTTGCGGGGCAAGTCCACTACAACCGTACACCTGGTACACACCTTTATACCAGCTCTGCACAAAAGGTCATGAACTTTGTAAGGTCATACCAAGAGTAGATAAGGCCATGGTAAAAAATATCTTTGATTCTCAAGTACGCGCGCATCGATTTTTGGTGGCGCACCGACGATTTTTTTTATTTCTATGCATGCATATGCGTGCATGAAAACGGTCAATGCGAAAGGCATGAATCCGGGAGTAGTAAAATACAGGTATTTTTCTACTCCCTGGCCTGAATAATAAAATAATTATAAATTAATTATGAACCTGTGACGTACACATGTGTGACCCTATCTTTGGAAATAAAAAAATTGTGGGAATTAAAATAAAAAATCGCTCGCTCGCACCGATTTTCACAGGCTCATGACCTGAGAATCAACTTTATTTTTTACCATGGCCTAAACAAGAGTGTGCAACTCGCGGATGGGTTGGCCCACGGCGGAATTTTTTGTTGACGTAATCTTTTCGACGACGCGCGTACGCACGCGCTATGAGTCTTTTGGAAAGTTTTCCCTCGTGCACTTGGCCGCATTTGCACTACAAAGTCGGTGCCCAGCACGTGCTCTCACACTGCTCTGCGGCAAAATGCGCGTTCTTCTGAAAAAGGTGACGTCAACAAAAAATTCCGCCGTGGGCGGGGGTATCTGCAGATTGTGCAGGAGAGATCCGGAGTTGCACACTCTTATTATTATTATTATTTTTTTATTTTATTTATTTTACTAGGGTGTTTCCCACAGACCTATGGTCTTCTTACGGGAGCCCCTAGAAACTCTTGTTTATCTACTCTTGGTCATACTCATAAAATTAATGTACAGGTCTACTCTCCATATAACGTAATCTCTGGGACCACGCAAAAAGTATGTTATATCGAGAGTTATGTTATGTAGAAAACCGTGTGTAAAATACAAGATGCACCTCAAAATGAAGGGTATTACAAGGCGGGTTCAACCGTGCAAACATATACACACTGTACCACCATCGACATCAGATACCATCAATGGCGCAGAATATGCACAATAAGACTAAACCGTGGCTACAGCTTGATTGTACCGCGCACGTGAATCTACGTTGTATCGAGAGTGCACACGTCGGGGACTGCGCCATAGGGTGCGTTATGCCGAGGTTTACGTTATGTATGACTAAACTGGCCTAAACTGCCTAGCTACAGCTACCGCTTGATCGTACCGTGCAAGTGAATTTATGTTATATCGAGAGTTCGCACGTCGGGGACCGCCGTAGCGTGTGTTATGTCGAGGTTTATGTTATGTAGGATTATGTTGTGTAGAACAAAACTTGTATGGGAGTGATGCTGTTTCCGGCGGTGAGGGATTTGATTTTTTTATGTACTAGCGAGGTTTATGTACAAGTGAGAGTTGTTATATCGAGAGCAGACCTGTACTAGCATGGGCTGTACCGGCCTGCCAAAAAACGGGGCAACTTGCCCCGCAAAAAGGTGACGGCCATCTTCGATGCATACCTCCCATTCTTTTGTGAAAAGATGCTGAGTGAGAATTGAGTCCCTGTACTGCCTACTACTGGCCTTTTGCAGCTGGGTCAAAACGGCATTGTACCACTCCCGAGTAGGCACCGGCGGATTATGCCGGCATAATTATTGGCATAATTTGGTGGTTGAAAATTTGGAGCATAATTTGGCATCCTTTCGGAGGTAGGAGCATAACTACATGATTGTACCACAATTCTAGTATGTAAGCTACACAATTGTGTACAATGCACCTGATCAGTGCTGGTAGTCTGCACGGTAAAGGGTTCGGAGTACTGAGCCCTTTTCCAAAGATGCTCACCACTTTTTTTTAGGGCTGAAAGGAATATTCGAATTATTCGAATATTCGAAATATGCAAGGTGGAAAAAGAATATTCTTCGTTTAAGTAGAATAGGAATATTCGTAAATATACAGAAACTCGCCTTTTGGACATCGATCAAGCTTGTTTGGTGCAACATATAAGTAGGCTTGCCTCTTTCGATGTGTTAAAATCAGCAAGACAAATGATTTTTCAAATGTCTCTCTTGTAATTGGGGTGTATGCCAGTTAATGGTCTATGGTTACCATGGATAAACTAGGTATCCATGGAAATTGTATGGTTTAGAATATTCGGAATATTCTTCGTTTCGCATGTATTCGTAAAAAGAATATTCGTTCGCTTCATTGAGCATTCGTTTCAGCCCTACTTTTTTTTCGCAACTTTCCGTTGTTTTGGAAGAAATCGCAACTTTCTTCATTTTCACAAACACTTGAAGTACTTTACTTCGCAACTTTTCCGCAAAGGTGTGCAAAGAAGCGCGCTGGAGGAGACCATCGACTGTGCAAGCTATGGTTATTGCTCTAATAATTTTAAACAAATGAGGTGTAGTTGATGTTTGGTCATGGTGGAAGGAGAGGTGGAGCTACGGGAGAGATGAGCTGATTATTCCCAGGGTGAGGGTGACATCGGTTGGACGAGTATGACGATTACGAAGACAGTTGAATATGATAATTTTCAAAGGTAACTCAAAATAATTTGGCAATGAAAAATTACAAAAGAAATCAACTAATGATTAGAAGAACCCTTCTCCTTTCCATGTTGATCTCTAGCTTGTATGGTCATCTTGGTATGGGGATATTCATGTATTTTTTTTGTACTAATGGCCACTTGCAAGTACGAAAAGGCACAATTTCCCGAAGTTTGAGGCTCCATAAGTGCAACAAAGTGAATACGTATCCCCACGTGCCAAAGCATAATATGAGGATTTTGCGAGCATAATGCGAGAATCCATGAGAGCATAATTCCATGATTTCGCGAGCATAATCCACCGGAGCCTACTCGTGAGTAGTACAATACCGTATTGTACTACTCCCGAGTAGTACATTACCTTATCACTCCCTTAGTATTGACTCCCATAGATTTTTGCCATACCTAAGCACTGTAAGCAGTCAAATATTACTGCATATTTCACTCCATAGGGCTATATTGACCGCTTATATTTGTTTCCTTTTTAGCGATTGAACCCAGGCTTTGGCTAGTCGTGATAAATCGTTCTCCGAAACACGGAATGCGCGGAACTCATCATTCAGTCTCCCACGCGCTGCCGCCACCCTATTCACTAGATCCCCGATCTTTGCTGTGTTTTGGGCAACATTACCAACGCAGGCCAAGACCAGCACGTCGATGGATAATTTTGTTGCTAACATCTCTGCTCAATTATAGGTTTCATGTATTTGCATGACATCCTGCTGGTTTGTCTCCTCCTTTGCCTTCTTTGCCTTTTATTTGTATTCTTTTATCTGTTTTACTGCTGTGGTTGGCTTTCACCCTTGTCTCAGTTTTACTGGTCGTCATCATGATGTGCCATGAGATAATGATATAAATACAAATACAAAAAAATCTAATATTGACTTCGTACTTAGGGGCCGTCCGTAAATATCGATGTTTTTTTAGAGACGATATTGGTGCGTCTGGGGGGGAGGGGGTTTGAGCCATGTGCGTCTTTTCGAGCATCAGAAAAATATCGATGTAAATATCTGAAGTTTCGCCGATCCCTGCACGCGGACGTCTAAATGGCTATACAAGAAATGTGAAACCAGCTTCCGTTCGCGGAGCTAAAACTCGCGACACAAGAACAAAATCAAAAATTGGAAGCTGTACGCCCATGGCGAATTTCAAGAGCAAAAGAATGAGCTATTGATTGTGGAAATCGGCCGAACGATGCCTGCAGGAGACCTTTTTCAAGACGTAGAGGCAGTGCGAACAAACACGGACGAACTCCACAAGAGTTTCCAGTCTTCACTAGGGAGGTTCTGCTATACGTGAAACGTAGAGAAATCACGTAGAGAGCAGGTGTCTAGGTTAGAGTCTACGGCTTCGCGTGTTTTGGCTCCAGATTTCTACGCGGAGATGGGGTTCTCTACGTTGTGGCACACGCAGAGAAAATGCGTACGGATTTGCTGGGTATCGATCAACTGCATGCAGAAAACTGCCAAATATGGAAGGGGAAATTCCCAGTACACATTCCACGTGACTTCTCTACGTGAAACGTAGAG